TTCTTTGAATCGGCGATAAGCAGTTTGTATGATTCGAGCATATCCATCTTGAGATTTTGGATTATTACATTCATGATTCCAATGATACTTCATCAAATCTGCAGGTTCAATCTTTTCGATATATCTGTAAATAGCAGAAGCATATACTTTACATCATTAACTTCAATCAATTTCCAGCAATCAAGACAAATTGCCATATGAGTTTTGTGAATTCTCGGTCTGTAGTAGTCGTGATTGACTAGCTTAGAATTTCCAAATCCACCATATAAACAGTGTACGTGATATACGCTTCTTTTCTTTTCAGAGACTAGCGCTTGTAAAGGAACTCTGACCCGAATAGCCCATTGTTGTGGAGTTTCATTGTGTCGAATAACAGATAAAGTATCATATTGTCTTTCAATCTCAAAGAGTTTATCGAATAATTGTTGATAATCATTAATTCCACAATAATTGTAGATATATGAGTCTATATATTTCATATTAATATCATATCCCGGTCTATTATTAATGAGTTTCCGTGATTTAGATTTTTTATCAATAATAATAGGAATATTAAGACCTGACATATTTATCGCTTATAGAGAATAATATATCCTGTCCACTCACAAGTTTGTGTCCAGATGTGTATAGCTAACTAATTTGTTTATTATATGTTATCCTGGCTTTGAGCAGTTACTGCGAAAAGGCGGGGAATTTAGTTCTCTATAGTATAAGAATGTATGATTCATTTTTAGTGCGGATTGGGTCTTTGCTTTGCAATAGTTTCTAAAGAATTTATTTGTGGCGATATTTATGTATAAATCACTCGTGTACTATGTATATAGTATGATCTATTTTTGACATGTTGCATAATCTATTTCGGGGTGTATTACAAGCATATACGGTCAACTCTCTCTAAATGCACTCTCTCTAAATGCACACTCTCCTTAAATACACGGTATTTCAGATTCCCAACCTCGGGAATTAACCTTTTTTGCTTCTTCACTTACGTTTTCTTCGTAACTGAGAAAAAAAGATAAAAATAAAGATAAATTTTTGTATTTTACATAAGAAAAAAAAAATACAGCAAAGTTAAGCCGGTTCTGGCCAGGTTAGATTACATTAGCCATCACCAGTCTCCACCAACTCGTCGTCTGATGACCGCACGGAATTTGGTGGCCTACCTTTACAAGTAGATAGTTCACCGCCTGATGGCAAAGTGAGATCTTCCTGCTTGCACTTCTGTTTGCTGATCACCTGATGGTTAAACCAGCAGACAGGATTGCGTTGTGGGAGTCACCGTCTGATGACAAGATGATAGTTCCCACTTCGCACTTCCAGCATCGTCCACCGTTCTGATGACCGGCATGGACGTGTGGGTAAAGTAAAGTCTTTAACTTCCACTTCGACGCCGAAAGACCAAAAAAATTTTCAGTAACGCAAATAGGGTACCACGTGATCGACGCGACTTATTATCGCGATTTTTTCTGTGGTGACAGCGTCTGAATAAGTATGTCGAGTTGATACTACGAGTAAGCTTGTATTTTCAGGAATATTTAAATTTTCCATAGCATATGTTTTCCCTGTTTCCCAAGGCGATCCTATATAAATATCATTTTCTTTAGGTAAAGGTTTCACATATCT